CCAGCACAAGAATGCACATGCAGACATGAAAGAGGAACATGTGTCTGTCATTCTGTCTGTGGTGCCACATTGAGTGGTGTTTCAGCTGCTGCAGCTACCACACTAGCATGCAAACAGAGTGTACAGTGAGGGCCTGGGGTGGTGACAGATGTCCAACACAAACAAAGTGAGCAGGACACTCAGCTGTGTTTGGCCTGTCCCTATGACTTAGGCAGAGCCTCGTCTCTCCTCCTCCCTATACACACAGAGCTTCATTGATGACTTTAACACCATTAAAGGCTTAGTGCCAGTCAAGAGAACTGAGGAAGACACGAGACCTGCACTGGACCCAGACAGTTATGGCTCTCTCTTCCAAGACTTTACACTCAGAAGTGACACCTTTCAAACTGGTTCTGAAATCAGGAGGTAACAGCGCCACTCACCCACACAGAGGTGGTGCTGCAGATGCTTACAGAGGCTTTCTCTGTGTCCCACAGCATGGGTTCACTGTTCAGTACCAGCCTGCTGCCACCTTCCCTTGCAGGCCTGTCCTCCTCTTCTATCAGAGGAACCCACCTCTCCCAAAGTTCCATTCTCTAAAGCTTTCGGTGGGGCACAGTGGGCTCCAGGTGGCTTCTAAATGTTGTCAGCTATCACATCCTAGGCTGCCACCAAGTGTTAGACAATTCAGCACGAGATTTTAAAAACTGCCTTTTCTGAACCCACTGCTCTCTTAGAGCAGAGCTTCTTAACAGGGACTTTGCCCCTCAGGAAATATCTGGCAATATCTGGGGACATTTAGAGTCCTACAGTGGGAGAGAGGGAGCCTCATAAACAGAGGAGCCATGGATATTGAACACCTCAACATGGAACTGTGAAGCATCAGAAAGTGGGGGCCAAGAAACCTTGATTTGGAGTACTCCCACCTCATCTCCACCCCCACCTCATCCCTATCCCTACCCCAGGGGCAAAACACATGCCAAACAACCAATAACCCAAAGACCAAGAATTCTGTGACCACAAGTAAAACAGGCTGTCCCAAGCAGGAAGACAACACACACCCAGTGGCTAACAAGCTTTCTCTCTTTCTGCTTTAGTATATGGTGAAAAAAAAAAATACAGAGCTTAAGAGACAGCATAGACTCTATAAGCTAAGAAAGAGTCTTCCCATGAACAGAAACCACATTAACCAACAGTCACACTCAGCTGGGTTATGGGTCAGTGGTCGAGCATGTGCCCAACATGTGCAAAGTCCTAGATTCCACCCCTGGCAAGATAGCCCAGAAACAACCTGATAAACCCAACCATAGGTTGTTTTTGTTTTCTTAATAGTCTTGCACGGTTCCTCATCGTACCTTTTTAACAATTCTGTGAAGAAAGTATTTATGGCTTCATGTTAATCCCCAGGAAATCAAGGCTTAGGAACCTTTTCCCAAGTCACCAAAAGGGAGGGGTCTGGAGAGCTGGTGAAGAGTGTGGACCTCCAACTGAGGGCTCCATCTGCTAGCACGTCCTGACAATGGTGCACTGAGACACAGCACATAGTTTCCAAGGAAAACAAAATCAGATATAAAACCCCAGAGCAAAGATGATTTCATCAAGTCTCCTGCCCCTCAGTGCTGGCAGTACAGTTGAGATAATGTTGTGCTGAGGCGAAATGCGGCCAGGGAAGGGAAACAGTGTGTATCAGCACCTGAACACGGCCTGTTGCAAAGTCCATGTCCTGACCAGCACCAAGCCCTGGACCTGAGTGCTTAGAAATCAACCACAAAGTAGTATACAGGGATGGGCATACACTACCATTCTGCCTTCTTGTTTTTATTTTGAGACAGAGTCTGTGTAAACCAGGCTGGCCTGGAATGTGCTCTGCAGACCAGGCTGGCCTCAAACTCACTGATATCCACCCGTCTGCCTCCAGAGTGCTGGGATGAAAGTGAGCCACTGTGCCTGACGCTGACTCCTGTTCCACCCTGTGGCTCTCTACCCACTTTCCTGTGGTAGTCTGAGGCTGGTTTCACTACGCAGCCCAGGCTGGCTGGGAACCTGTCCTGCTGCTCCTGCTGCTATGTGCTGCTGGTGACAGCCTTCCTTTCATGTTACAGAGCTGCTCACTTTGTGAAGAGATGAGCTGTCATACATGAATACATAGATTTTGTTAAATAAAGACACACAAACAGAAAAATGGTGAAGATGCTTTAGACCAAGGTTATGTCCCAGTCTAAAATGTTCAGCGTGGCCTTCACACATAAGCTGCCTGAAGTGAGCTGAGGGCTAAGTCCAAAGGAGGGGTGCATAGCATTTTGTCATGGGGGACGTGGCCAGCTGGAGCCACAGGTTGCAGCAGGTTCCCTTCTCAACCACACACACCTTCAGGCCAGGAGGAGGAATGGGAGGGCAGCCTTTCAGCAGGTACTAGAAACACTCTCACTATAATCACAGACTCCTTATTCAACACCAGACCCAGAGCTTGGAGAGTGACCTGCACAGAACACTGGGGGCCTAACTCACCTCGGCCCTTCTCTGGGGAGGCTGGGCTCATAACCCTGCTACAGAGGTCTCTTTGGCCATCTTTCAAGTGACTCCTACTTATCCCATATCTGAGAACCCTGACAACTGGAAGGAACTCCCTTGCTTGCCCAGTCACAGGGAAATAGTGGAAACCAAGTCACAAACCTCAAGACTGTTCCCGCCCAGGAACAAGTCTTTCCCCTGTGGAGTGTCTGTCACTCAAATGAGAGTAGCTGATGGTTCAACTTAGCTCCTACCCCCAGCCCCAAGAAGGCACACTTAAAGTTAGAAGTTTTTAAGAAAACAACATGGTTGCTGAAAATCATGTTGCTTTTTGGATTCAAAGTGACATTTCCCAGGAACTTCAGTACAAGAAAAGCCATAAGCATAAGGAACTGCTGTAGCCACACCAATGGTGGAACCACTAGCACAAAGCCACTGCTTGGTTTGAAGTCCCCAGTGCAGGCTCCTCAATCTGCAGCCCTAGCAAGAGTCACAGCTGTGCAATGCTTGAGACGTGACCAGGAGCAGGGCTGGCGAGTCCTGAGGAGGGCCGGTTATACTGAGAGACCCAGGTGAGTTTATCACAGCTTTCCGGGCCGACAGCGGTGTTCACCCATGTGTCTCCAGGTGTGGGGCTTTTTGTTGTATGTGCTTGCCTCAACAGCAAAGTTGAAGAGTTGCTGCAGAAACCACGTGGCCTGAACTATGAAATCTCCAGTCCTTTTGAGGCAACATTTGCTGGCCACTATCCTGCATCTAAGTCTATCCATCTTTCTGGTCTTGCAGAGCAGGCACCTCCTCTTGTCTTCAATGTTGCTTCTTCTGAGGGGCCTTTCTTGAATACTTGGTTTAGAGGTGTTTGCCCTGTGCCTCTTCACCATGTATCACCCCTTCATAGCTCTTGGCTGAGGCTACCTTGTTCACTCAATCAACTGTCTGACAAATGCGAGCTTCCTAAGGGTGAACTAGACCTGCGTGTGCACCATTTCTTTCTCAGTGTGTAGACATCAAGTGTAAGATGTCATGCTACAGTCAGATCATGAGTGTGTAAGGGAAGCCAGGATACATTTAGTCCACCCGGGTACCAAGGATCACAGCAGAATCAAGTGCCCTGCCTTTGGGCAGTAAGATAAAATTTTTGATATTTACAGAAAAGGGAAACGCCTACTTCCTTCTCAAAGGTTTAAGGAACGATACACAGTAACTGTATCAGGCTGTAAGATATGTGACATGACAGCAGGAGGGAGGAGAAGGGGATTGAAGCCTCATGGCTTCCTGGCATCAAGGGACAGGTGTTCAGCACCTGCTCTGACCCTCCCACCCAGCCAGGCTGGCAGGATCCTCAACTCCAGTGGGATCCAACCCCGACAAAACACAACCCTTTGCCTATAAATAGCAAGGTCTTTCAAACACTAATTAAAAATAAGTCTGGCATTTGGAGTCTCTGATAAACAAAAGAGCTAGGGGCAGAAACAAACAAATTGGATCTATTCATAGGTGGTAAAGGGTACCAGTGTCTCCCTATGGACTTCTTTCCACTGCCCCCAAATCTAAGGACTTGTAAAATGTGTAACAAAGTCTACCTTCCCAGTGAGCTACTATGGAACTGTTTGTCAGTGTAAGCTACTTTACTGACTCTGAAAGCTCCTATAACATTTCACATAAGCCAACTGATCTAAGATAGAAGTTCAAAAATAGACTGTAATGAGTATCAAGCACCTGAACACACCCTTGGTCCCATGTGCACCTCATACCTGTACACACCCAACTCAGGAGGGCTAAGTGTCTGAACGCCCCAGGTGCTAACTGCAGCGCATACATAGCTCAGAGTTAAGGTTTCTTATATTCTCTGCATTTCAGAGCTCTGTGTCAAAGACCATTTCTCTTTGAACTTTCTCTTATGATGATTAAATACATTAAATATTTATGATTTTATATATTTTTTCAAACCTGGAATCCATCTAGGATCTGTTCTGTGTTCTTAATAAACTAAAATATATTAAGGCTCACATCATACTGCATTACCACAACCATCCAATTTTACTTTTTAAACCACGGCTGCTAGATTCGTTTTTCATTTCCTTTACACATGGCTTCTTTCTTGTCCTAGCTGAATGCAGCTGAGCCGCTCCCACACATCTGAGCTGAGTTTCCTTAATGAACAAGGGAAAGGAGGCACCACCAGAGCACGAATGACCCGCCCAAGCCTTAATTCAAAAAACTCCACCCTGTAGCTCAAGCCTTTGGGAGATGTGTCTCTGTCTTTATCATTTACGTAGTAGGATGGAACACTTAGGCCTCCAACCATGTCACGTACAAAGTCACCACAGGAGAGCCCTGGAGAAGAGCAGGCACTTGCTGAAGTGTTGCTGGAAGCCCAGCCCCTGACTCCTAAAGCAAGCACATACTGCACACTACAGTCATACTATAGCCAGCAGCAGCTCACAGGCTGGGGCTGCAGTGGGTCCCTGCCTTCCCATCAGTGGGGCAAGTAGTTTCAGCTGTGTTACCTCTGCATCCTGCTCCTGGAGACGGTACGTCTGCTGGAGACACTGCAGTGTCTGGGGGCTCAGGGTCTTCTGCTCTAAGAGCCACTCCAAAAGCAAGATGATTTGGTCTGGAGAAAGCTGAGGACAAAAGAAACAGTTCTTGAAATGTCATGAAGGCATCAAGAAGTTAATCCCAAGGTTCTGAGCAAGAACCTCAGGGCCAGGAAAACCCGGCCCTCCTAATGTTTGAAGATTGGAGAAAGCACCTTCTGACTTTCCTCACACATCAGGGTTGCCTGCAGCCTTAAAGAGTCGTATCCTGGCGTCTGGTGAAGCTGTATCCCTGGTTTAACATGTTGGGTATGTGCTTACAGAAGATTAAAATGACACTTGTCTTAATGTCACCATGCCTCATGATGGCCTTGCCTTTATGGCATGCATATGCCAAGAAATGTTTCTGGCTCAACAAGGACTCAGGAGGGCACCCAACTTTAGGCAAATTCACAGGAGTTAACCAGGCAGAGGTAGGTTCAGATTTCTTTCTGATCCACTTAGGCCTACAAGGCACCTGCAGAACCCTGAAAAATAAACACATCGTAACAACTGCCTCCGCTCACAGCCTCTCCCCTTCATGAGCAGTCTGTTTATAATCTGTGCGTATAAGGTACTACAGTGCACTTTACAGGCTGCAGACAAGCAAAAAAGCACACACACCTAAGCACACAGTTACTCACACTCCTATTCCTAATACACAAATCAGTGTGACAGCAGCTAAGGACAATGAGAGGGAGAAGTCTGCATGTGATACAAACAGAAAAGGAAGTGACTACAGACAGCTGGGGTGCTTACTGGGAGCGCCTCCTGGCCTGGCCATCTCACTCCAACAGCAGAGTGGAGGGAAAACTAGATATACACCTGTACTGATTGAAAACGATTCATACTAAAAATCAGGGCTTTACAACTCTTTATACAAACTCCACATTCTCTACACTGGGTGCCCTTCAGCCTTGGCTATGCCTGAAAATTCATATAATCAAACCAAATTTCTGGAGGCTGACACTATGTCATCAGAGGGTGCCTACGAACACCATGATTTTAATTGCCAATTTCTATTACTCAAAAGCCATTAACTTTTCAGCTTCTCTCCTCTTGCCTCTCCTTTCTGCCCTAAAATATACGCTTTGTCCAAAGGCCACAAGCTAGACACCCTCCTGCCTAATGTCTTCCCTCGGGCCCCAACTAAGGCCCCTTAGCCTCAAGTTACCTAACTGCTTCTCTTGGTTTTGCTGTGGCAGTGGCTAAAGTCACCCATATGCCTAACCTAAATATGAGTATTTCTCCTGGGTTCAGTCACTGAACACAACTCCAGCTTAAAAGTCTGAGAACTGCTACATGGGAGCCCAAGTGGATCTACACCTACGTACTGTTTTTCTTCCAAGCAGAAAGCTCACAACCCCACACAAACAGAATCAAAAGGATCATGGAAAGCTTTTGTTGTCACAAAATTGACGCAATGGAAACATTTACAGCTAAGCCCCCTGACTTAAGATGGACAACTGAGATGGGAGGGAGGCTGGAGGGGGAGCACATGTGCATTCAAACCTTTAGGGCCGTTTCCTAAGTTTATCTGGCTCTAATTAGAAGGCAGGAAAGAGTAAGGTACACACCCCTCCGAGGAATCCATCCTCCTCCATTCAGCAGGGTATAGACTCCCTCGTGCAAGAGCAGGCTTGTTCAGAGGCAGCCAGGACAGAAGGCACAGCCACGCTGAACATTCCTCCCTAATTCGGGGAGATCTGTGCTAGTCTGGCCTTTATAGCACGGACTCCGAGAAAGCACTCTGTTAGTAAACAGCCCACAGCCACCTGGCTCTCTGAATCATGGGAAAATGTAGTCTCTACACAATGAAGAAGACAAATCAGTGGCCAAACGCTGTTTTCAGCCACATATAATAAAACTAGCATTCATTCACAAGTAAATATTTTATCACAAAGAAGATTACGGACTTGAAAAGAGGATGTGTTAAAGTAAAAATATTTTAATAGCATCAACGTCTCTTTGTAAAATACATATTTGCTCTCTGTCAAGCCACCCTACAGCCGAAAAGAAATAATACACGATAAATGTTCGCAAAGTGACTGAAAGATCTCAAGTACTTGCAAATGTACTGGGAGGCAGTGTTGTGCATCCGGCTGTCCTGGCAGCTGGCACAGGGAAATGTCCCTCTTCCAGTCACAGAGAAATCAAATGAACTTTGACATAACTCTAAGACTGTGTGCTATCATGGAGGTATTGCAAGGGACACAGACGGTGTCAGCTGTACTATGGTGTCATCAAGAAAAAACAGCCTGTGTCTATGAACATCAGGCCCCAGGGAAGCCAGCGTGATAAATTACAAGACCAGCCTTGCTGAGAGACTGACAGCTCGGTACCCACCATTCAGTTGAAAAAAGAAAGAAAATTCTTTCTTGTCACAAACAATGATCTATGTTATTATTTCCACATAGGGAACGCCTGGGTATTGTAAAAAATGCATCTGCCTTGGAAACTCAAGACAAAATAAGACTATGAGATGCCCAAATCAGATGGGTACGTGAAAACAACGGCACGGGCCTGTAAAACTTACTCAAACGAACACACAAAACAAGATATAACAGGAAGTCAATCAAGTACAAACGTTATTAAGGATTGTGGAAGTCTGTATTCTTGCCATTAACACTGAAGATTTCATAGTTGTTAATTTTGAAGAAATATACAAAGATAAAAGTTAACTTTATTTGCCCCCACCCCCACGATTTAAAAATTGTGGAAAGTGGAACAAGACTGAACAGTTTTAAAGTTTCTTGGAGAGAAAATGTGAAATTTCCAACCCCCAACCCTGATCCAAGTAAAAGCACAAAGAAAACCAACCCTGGCTCTTCTAGGAGCCCTGGTGCCTTTACAGGAGGCAGGGGTGGGAGTGGGTGGGGGCAGGGATGAGTATCACTCTGAGCTCCCTCCCAGAGGACAATCCATCCACAAAACTGCAGCCCCCACTTTCTCTTCCATTAGCACAACACAATGCAGAAGAGCAGGCTTACCTCCCAGATTAAGAATGCCACAGACTTGACAAGTCTCACCATGAAGCTTCCACAGGCACAAACATCAGGACTGCAGCTGCCATGCCTTGAAGGGCAAGGGGAGCCCTTGAGCCCCTCCCTGGCCGCCCAGCTGGCGCACAGCAGCGGCTGCACAGGGAAGGAAGTCAGTGCGGCTCCAGACAGAGCGAGCCTGAGACTAATGCAGCCACAGACTGACAGTGGCGTGAGTTCTATTATTACCCCATTATCACTCTGGGATCTGAGCCGAAATGAAGCATGCTTCCTCCCTGGTGCCATTTCCTTTTATCCTGGCTGGAGACTAAAAGCGGATCAATGGGGCAATAATGTATGATGTCACTTCCATTATAGCAACAGCCTCCCCGCCTCTTTCAGTCTGTCTGAAACACACAGAACGATCAATTCTTCCCAAAAATGGTTAAAAAATGCTTTGGGAGCATGCATCTTCCAGAAAAGCATTCTCTGCTATATTTGTCTATGTTACTTTGGCAGGAACTGTTTACACAGAACAAAACAGAAGAAATGGGGGAGGGAGAAAAAATCTCAAATTCTCCTGTAGGCTGGAGACTTGTTGGCTGGAATTCAACCCAAACAGGGGCCAGGGTAGAATGCCGCTGACCTTTGAGAGTCACGCGCAGAAGGTGAAGGGTGACCCCACGGATATAAAACACCTTTCATTTTATAAGGCACTCTGAATCTGGAAAATTTCTCGATACCTTCTCCAGGAAGCACAACCACTACCCTGCAGGCCTGAAGACCACCCACTCAAGTCCACAGCTGCTTGCTACAGGTGAGGGACACGGGTGGACGGAAGGAAGACAGGCTGCTCTGAGACTTAAAACTCCATTGAGTGAATTTTCACTTACAAGATTCTTGCTAGTAGCATGAGATAAGGATATCATGGAGAGAAGTTCCCCAAACAAGAGCAGGAACTTCTATTTCCTCAGGATCCAGAGAGAAACAGAAACAGAAGCCAGAGGAAGCCATGGTCTTCTCTGCCTGTCAGGAAAGGGCTTCCTTTCTTGTTGGGATGCATACAACAGGCAGGGTAGGCGTATTAAGCCTGCGTTCATGGGTGATGTCTGCAGGACCTCCGGACAGAACTAAAGTGCCTTCCAAGCTTTAGAAATGTAAGGAGAAACAGCTGCCACCGCTGCCGCAGCCGCTGCTGCTATAGGCAGCAGAAAAACACTTCTCCGCATGGCTTTTTGTTTTAATCAAGTTTTAAAGAACTGCCTAAACCTAAGACTAGATAGAACACTGAATGAGAATCTTGTTTGGATTATTTTGAGGGTAAAAATGCAGGTTATCAAGTAATGAAGGGTGAAGATATTTTTTCTTCAAACTATAGAACTCAACCAACAGGCAGGCAAACTCCTCTAGCAGCGTCAGCTACTGTTGGTTATCAAGCATCTTCAGAGCTACATTTTGCAATGACCACTGCAGCAACAAATATTCACAGAATTCATGATGTTAGATATTTGAGACACGTTACTAATAGCTTGAGATGATATGTGAACTTGTAAGCTATTGTTTGATCACAGCACTTCTAAACTGCTATCACAAGACGAAAGCCCACGAGAGCTGCTAAGAGCAGGTGGGAGCAGAAGAAGGCTGTGGCACAAAGTCACCATGCTTCCAAGTGGGAGAGTCAAGAAACTGTCAAACGTGTTATTATTTGAACCTTTGTTAGAAGTATTACCCATGCGTCGTGCAATGTGACATAAAGCATATTCCGTGAACTACATGAAACCAGACCATCGGGGCCAGCTGGATCCTACCACCAAGTGTCTACTAATATTTTATGCCATTGTGTATTTCAGAAACTAAATCATGCTAAATGCTTAAATTAAAAAATTTCCAAGGATTTTACAAGAGACATTTGAGGTTTTTGTGTCTGCCTGCCTAGAATCTGCCAGACCCACAGAGGGGTACACTCCCACCACTTCATGCTTCTGGGGAGAAGTGATTCAGACAAGAAGTCCCAGAGTGCTTCAGGCCATCTTCTGTCCTGCTGAAGGGTGCTTTCCTGTTATCAGA